TGTCTCTCTGTCTTTCTGGCGAGCGCACGTGCCCTATAGCAAAAATCTCTCCAAGCAAAAAAAAAAAAAAAAACAGGGTGAGAGTCCTGGGCCCCCCTGTGGAGGGTGGGCCTGGCCAGGGCCTCTGTCTGGGACTCAGCACCCCTGCAGGTGAAGCTGGGGTCCCAGGGAAGGTGGAGGACCTGAGCACCCCCAGACTGCCCAGCCTTGCTGGTGTCTGCTGCACCCACAACCCGGCAATAGGAACCGGGGCCTGGAACGGGCCGGCCACAGCCAGGCGGGGGCCCCTGCGGCTTCGCGCTGCCAGCCCCCACTCACACCATCCTTGCAGTGTTCGAGAGGTCACCAGTCAAAGACAAGTCTCCTCCTTTTTCAGCTTAAATGTTCTCTCCCCTCAGTGCCCACAGCTCTGGGTAGACCCACCACCTTGGGGTGCTGAGCTCCCTCTGCCTTCCATGCTCAGCTTCTCCGGCCGGTGCTGTTTTCTGGACCTGTTTTTCTTCCATCCCTCCCACAGAAACTTAGACTCTGTTAAATGCTGACCTTTGTAAGGTTTCCATTATTTTTATTTTTGAAACGATTAAGATATACAGCCTACAGAATTGGGGATTGTCATTTTAAAAGCACGGAGGAACTCTGACCCCGTTATAATTACTCTGCAAACCTCTCGGGGGTCTGCAGTCAGCCGGCGAGATGGAAAGCCCGATAGGCCGGGAAGCACAGGGATCCCTTGTTCGCCTCCAGCCCAGCCCTGCCTCCCCGCCCACACTCTCCCTCCGTCCCTCCGGTCCTGCAGCGGCCGCTGCCCCGGGTCCGTGGGAATCGGCCGGGCGCTGTTTGATGCCTTCTGTGGAAGTGCTCGGGATCGGGGGGCACGAGCCGGGCCGGGCGTGTCACTTCCTGCCATGTGATCAAAGCGGGATGAAGAAGCCGGTCACTGAGCGCTGCCAGGCAGGTGCCCGATGCTGACCCCGGCTTCCGCGGCGCCCCGGCTCTCTGCGGCCAGTCAGTCGCCGTGACCTCGGTCTCCTCAGAAGTCCCCTGCTGGGGAGGGTCCGCTCGGGAGCTGGCCCTCGGGAGCAGAGCCGTGCGCCACTGGAACACAGGCG